CGGTTAAGACATGAATCATTCCTTCTGCAGCCGCCAACCCAAAGAACAGAAAGGGAAATGATTGGACGCAAATAATTTATTTCTTCTTGTACGCGCGGCGGCTTCTTCACCATTTGCTGCCTTGTCGTTTCTTTTTTTGCACGCCGTGTGTACAACCCTGTTTTTTTTTTTTGTCATATTGTTCGCATGAAGGCGAAAGAAGTGACAAGCGGCGTGTTCGGCGCGCTGGCGAAATGCATCAAGAACCTCAACCCTAAGGAGGACCCGATGCTCATCGCGGACGCCATGGCGGAGCTGAAGAAGGTCGACGGTGAGAGAAGGGGACGGAGGGAGCGATGGAACGGGACGGTTGTAGGTTGCGTAAAATATCACACCCCCTGGCCCGATTTCAAAGCTCGGTTTCTCCACGACAAAGATGGATGCCGATTTCAAATGATGCGTCTTCCGGAAGCTCTCGACTCTCGACCAGCCGGTTCCAAGGCCACCACCTATCGGCGTGTCACTTTTTTGTTGTTGTTACCTCTCTCTGTGATCGGCGGGGGCCTGAACAAACACAACGATCAGGAGGGAGGGATGCGACCGTTGTATTTATTGCACGAGTGCGAAGGTCGTATTTCCAAATCCGCTGTTGTGCATACATAGACTTGGCGGTCTTCTTGAGCGGCGATGGTCAGCTTTGCGACCACATGCGGCCCTTGTCGAGAACTGTTGTCGCGGAAAGTAACCCGAAACGATCGTTTACTCGGTTGCCTCGAGAACAGATGTGAGTCTCTAGTGTAGCTGTACGTACGTCCTACTCGAGGTCCGTAGCTCTCGACAATCCATGCTGCGACGCTGACTAGTACGCCTCTCCGCTCTAGAGGGTACCATGGCATGTGGTAGTGCTACTCCTTGCCTCCGGTCCGTCCGGTCGGGTATGCGAGTGACATGGCGGTTTTGTCATTTTCTTGAGAACGCGCCAGTATCGGAGCCCATCTCCAACCCACATATTTGTCGTTGTGGGGCTAGGTTAAGGTTAGGCATGTACCAGTATAGATCATTGAATTTGATTGATTGGATTTATTGCAAGATTAAATGTTTTTGAACCACTGATGCTGTTCTGATAACAGCAGGATGACAGCTGTCGAAGAACCACTATTAAATGCTGTCTTTTACTCCACCGCCTCTTTTTTTTTTTTTGTTCATGCCGCCAGCCTTCCTCAAGAAGGGCAAGGGGCCCTACCTGTGCGGGGAGGAGCTGACCCTGGCGGACTGCTCCTTCGCGCCGAAGCTTTACCACGCCTCGACGTGCCTGGCCCACTTCAAGAACACAGTCATCTCGCCCGATCTGGAGTCGTTGCACAAGTACATGTGAGATATGTAGATTTACAGAATGGGAACGCCGAGACAAGGGAAGCGAAGGGAAGGGGTGTGCAGGAGTTGCCGAAACAAGGGTCGCAAGGGATGATGGGGGTGCAGGAGTTTTTTCTGGCATCTTTTTACGAAAATGCCAGCCAGAGCGAGCGGAGGTTTCTTTTCCGAGACTCGTTTTTGTCACCTCCAAGCGCGCAGAGAGCTGTTCTATTAGTGTACGTCCGGCGACGTTGAAGGGCATGATTTGTTGTTCCAAGCTTGCTGCTTCTCATTGGTTGTATGAGAAATAATGCAGATTTGGTTGTCGCATGCTCCGATGTCACGCGTCGCTTGATGCACGGTGATCCTTAATGCGGTGTATGTGGAGCCATCCGTCCGAAAAATATTTGAAAGTAAAAGCTTGTGAACCCAATCGCCTCCGCTGGCGCTGGTTGTCGTTGCTGCCCCGATGTTCATGCGGCTCTACAGACGTTGTCGTCTGGACCACGTACTTACCGCACAAGCAGAGCAAGAGCTGTTGCAACATGTGTATTTTAGTGTCACCATTGCTCACCCCACCCACCCCAATCCCCGTCCCTGCCGTCGTACGCGTTCTCGTCCCTGTATTGTCTTTGCTCTTCCGTTTCCGATGTTTGCTTGGGTGCTTGTGTGTCTCACCCTTCGGTCTGCCCCCTGGCTCTGTCTCCCCCCCTCCATTTGTCTCCGCCCCTGTCTTTGTCTCGTTCGTTGTGTTCCTGACCGGGTTCTGTCCTCCGGCACGTCCTCTTCGTTGCTCGACCTTTTGAACGTTATATGTTTCGTTCGGTTCGGGAACGAAATCGATTGGGCCCACGCTTTTTTTTTTTTTGTCTCTTTGGCTGAATTCTGTTATCTACATATATGTTATTCTTGCCTGTTGGTTGTGCTCGCTCGCATCTTTTTTTTATTTGTCTATCCGGTGGTCGTGCTTTGTTGGTGCTGTTGTTGTCTACGTTGGTGTTGCTGCTATTCTGTCTCAGGGATGCCATTTACTCCCACGAAGCGTTCACGAAGAGCTCATACCCGCCGGACGTGATCGTGTGGGGGTGGAACAATGCTAGGGGGACACAAGCGAAGTGATTGACAGCACAGCAGTCCGCAGCACTGCGGTAGCTTAGGCAGAGCAAGGTGTAATGGGGGTGATAATATTTCGTTTGTGATACTTATTCGGGTCGCATGGTGAAGGGTGACCGTTCGTTTGCCCCCCAAGGGTCTGTGCGTTTGCGGACGAAGGTTTGTCGTACGTGCGCACACGGCGATAGAAATGGTGCGAAAACACCGCGCGGCTCGAGTGATCCTGCGTCACTCCTTGCTCCCTACACCCGTCACACGAGGAGAGTGGGTGGGGAGAAAAACTAAACGGACCACGACTTACACAGCAGGGCCAACGTAGATGTGAACAACCACAACCACGCTGCGGGGCATACATCGAACTTGTGCCCACGCGGCTGATATTTATTTTTCACCCATCAGGCAACGGCATTAGTTGAAGAACCTTCACTCCTCGAGACAACGGAAAAGTGAACTCCGCTGATTACCTCGACATTCTCCCCGCTGTACTGTAGCCAGCGGAGTAGCATTACGCGCACGTACGTGTGTTGTTTGTTCAGTGTTCAGGTTTGGTGATCAGTTGAGCTGTTTCGTTGATTGTTCAACGATCATTGATTTTGATGGGGTGGCATCAGATCGGCTTACCCCATTGCGCCCACTCCGCGAATCCCCCCACATGACGATAAATCAATCCACCCAGCCACACCCGTCACATATTTTCTCCGTTAGCAAACCAGAAGCAGCACCCGGCGCTCAGCATTTCAATCACGTAGCTTTGTCTATCTGCCGGAGGATTTTTCGCGCACTGGTCCCAGGTGTGTGGTCTTGGTAAGGTCAGCCAACAGCCGTGCTTTTTTGGAGACAAGAAAAAGGGATATTGAGATTTTCGTGTGCCAGAACACCGCCAGATAACAACGTTGACGTGATGATGAGGTTAGTCGAGCGTGGCACTTGGAAACAGCAGTTGACACGTCAACCGCTTGTCGACGACCGATCGAGCGGTGCCAGACTCGATTCCTCGCCTACGCTGTTATTGTTCCCAGCTGGTGGTACAAGCAGCTGTCCGCGCTGAGTGCCGCACGACGAACTCGCATATCACGCACACCGCCTACATGTTCTGCGCGGTCTCCAGAGCTGGTGCCGTGGGCGCCTTCCGATACAGCTGTAGTAGCACGGTTGCCCAGTCGCTGTGAATCGCGGTGCCGACGATTGGGGTGAAAAAAATCAAGCACCCCCACGATAACACTGTGGGCGTCAATCAACTGGTGTCGCCGAAGGTTCTGTGTAGCTCGCTGCTGGTGTAGCTGTTGCTCCAGGCGCAATCCTACCGTTAGCTCCCCATCGAGATGGATATCTATTCAGCGGCGGGACGACAACGTATGTGCTCTTGACGGGGGCGCCGTTGTCACAGCCGCAAGGCAGAAGCGCATCGCTACGCCAGCGGACTGCAACTCTCTGGCTATTGTGCCTCGCCAGTAGGAGATGTTGTGCTTGTGCTGTGTGTTGTGGTGGTGCTCCAGCCCCCTCCCGTGCTACATGTACGTTGGAGACAAATTTCTTCTTGGTGTTGCTCGGCTGGATTCAAGTATCTCACCGATCACATCCCTTGCTCATGAGTTCGAGAATCAGACTTCGGGTAAGTGGACGGCAGGACGTCGTAGTGACTAGGGCTGGGAGAGGTATGACGTTGCAGGTTGATGTTCCACTAGAAGTGGTTCGACTGGCAGCCACAACGAGATTCTTCCCAATGTACTTCATCCGCTCTGTAGTCGAGCATGAACGATGTTCGTCTTCGGGATTTCAATCAAGCACTCCATAGTTACATAAACGTTTTGAGCTTCTCCAACGAACACATCACCCAGTGCCCCAAGCAGGTGACCACCCACAAGCCCCCGTCATCTAAATCCCTCCCCAGCAGACACGCATAGTCTACCCGCCGCACCTGGTACGTCGAGTTTCAGAGTATATCCTCTGTGGGTATTGTTCGATCGTCCTTGTAATGTACACACTACAGTTGTAGGCTGCTGTCGTTGCTCTTCGTGCACAGACATGCAAATCGCTAACAAACAGTAGTTCCATGCAGGCATCGGTCAACAACACAACGGCGTTACGGATATTATCCGGAGGGGGGGCGGCAGCGCAAGCAACGACAACCCGACGGATCAGGACACTTTCAAACACTCCGGTGACCTTCACGTCGAACACGCCTTCAGTAGTCCACAGGAGGACTGTCGGACACAGAGTTCTCTACCATGAGAGGAGCGCCCCGGACCACATGCGACTGTTGCAAAGCCAGGAAGGTGGGTCCCGAAGCACAGAATCAACTCGTATCGCCAATCGTAGCGTAGAGGGGACAGAAGCTCTCGCCATACACACACACACACACACACAAGCCCCTGACGTCTTTTCATTGGTCTACCGGTTAGCGCGGTCGATGCTAATAAGAAAGACACACACACCCCTCCCCGCTGAAACCGATCACCCCCGATAACACACACACACAGGTCCGGTGCGGCGGCCCCGTGCTTGAAGGTTCCTGCAGGTACTGTGTAAACAAGGGTTTTCCGTGCTGCTTCGGCATGAAGCGAAAGACAGGGCCCAAGCCAAAGACGCCTCCCCCGCCCGAGCAACAGCCGGGAAACGGAGGCTCTCCCTCCAGAGCGTCGGCGTCGTCAGGATGTCCTTCATCAACCTCTCTGTCGTCCAAGGCCGTAGTGGCGGCGGGTGGTGGTAAGGGCAGGCGCCGCGGGGGCGGCGGTCTCAAGACCCGAGCCCTTGATGGCGGTGGGGGAACAGTCGGCGGGGTGCGCGCGGCGGCGGCGGCGGTGGAGGGGAAGTACCCCATGAAGGGCGGTGGCGGTGGTTGCTCTGGTCGTGGAGGTGGCGGCAGAGATGGACGGGCGGTAATTTGCTCCGGGCCTGTGCTGGAGGCGTCGTTTCCCGCGCGCGTTGCTGACGAGACGGAGGAGGTGAGGAGTCGTGTTTGGAGAACATAGAAGGGCCCGCTACCCAACGGAAAGAGGTAAACGACCAAGACTCGCATCTTCTACCAAGAGAGAGAAAATAACATCGCAATAACATACCAATAAGAAATGAACAACTCGCCGGCAACAACGGGTTAATCCCCACCCACGTTAGAATCATTCTCAGTCCCTTTTTTGCCCCCGACTCTAAGTATTGGCTCGTTCGACGAACCTTGTGGAGACTTCATGTCGGGATGCCTCAAACTGCACCAAAGTTTTGGCGAAAACAGGTTTTCAGCTACCCGTGCTTGCGTGCTTGCGTGCGTGCGTGCTTGCGTGCTTGCGTCCTTGCATGCATCTCCATGCAAGCGCTAACAATTTCTCGCGAAAACGCCAACAACATGACCCCCTCCGTTCCCTCCCGAACAAAACCAGGTGGAGTACGAGGTACGCGCACCCCCGCCCAACCTCATCCCTCTACCTCAACGCGCGTGCTTCACTGCCCTCGGGAGCTTCTACGGCTCCTTCCCCACTGCCGGTGCCTTCGTTTCCATCTTCCCCCCGTTTCCGGAAGGCAGCGGCGGTGGCGAGCCCGCGCGCTTGCCAAGAGTACACAGCGGCGGCGGCGGCACGGCGGTAGGCGGTAAGAGTCCTCGCGGGGACGCAATCCACGGTGGGAGCGTGTCCGAGGTGCCTCGGCGTGCCTCCGGCAGCGGCGGCGGCGGCGGGACGCCCGGTTTTTCCGCCCCTTCTCTCATGGAGGAGAGGACGGCTGTTGTAGGTGAAGGTGGACTTATCACGGACGGCGGTAGCGGTGGTCGAACCGTCGGAGGCTATGACGGTGTTGTCGGGGACGGAGGGACTGTCGATCAAACCGCGGGTGAAAAACTCGGGTTCATGGAGGGAAAGGCCAACCGGTACGGCGAGGCAGCGGGTCGCGCTACAAGCGGTGGTGATGGTCTCGGCCTAGCGGGTACGCCAGCGGCATCGGCGGCGAACAACGGCGTGGCGGGACTAGGCGGTGGCGAGACGGGAGGCTCACCGCTCTCTGGTGTTGTCGAGGGTGGAACGGCTGCCCCTGCGGTGATTGTGTCGTCTAAAAGGAAGAGCCCCGCCGCTGTTGACGAGGTCGAGAAAGGGGAGAAGGTGGGCGCATTTTTGGACCGACAACGTTTAGCCAAGCACACCCTTGTAGTGTCGATGTATCGTTCGACGAGTTGCGAGGGTCAGGAGAGCTGACCAGAGCACTACAATGTTTCCCATGTGGAACACACCGATGACACTTGATATTACACGAAGCGTTGTTGGATGTTTCCCGGCACGTTAAGGTTTACATGCTGCAAAATGGCAGGGTGCATCGAACAAGAGATACACCATAACCCCAACTCGAAATACAAACCGTCGCTCTCTCCACCATTCACCAATTCCCTCTGAACACTACCAGGGAAAGGTCGCCGGAGTATGGGCCGGGACGACCTTCCAGGATCCCTCTCACCGCCCAGCCTCCACCATCGGGAACCACATCGGCAGTGGGAGCAGCCGCTGCGTCGATCAAGGCACCTACGGCGACGTCGTCCTTCGCCGTGGGGCGTCTCCGTACAAACATTCCGGTGGTGGCGGAGCGGCCTCCCCCCACGCAGTTCCCCTTGAGAACGCCGCCGCCGTTGGAGAACCGACCAGGGCTTCACCGATCGGCACCGATCCGAGCGGCAGCCGGTTCAACGGCGGCAAAGCAAGCGGCGAGGTGATATTGTCCTGGGGTCTTCCCCGGAGCGCCACCGACGGCAAGCCGGAGACGAAGCCGGCAACAACGGCGGACCAAGCCTCGGGCTTGGACGCTTGGCTCTTCGAGGTAGGGCGCGCCGATGAGATCGCGGATAGAGCGGCCGGCATGAAGGGGATGTGGCTTTGGGGTGGCCATGGCGGCACGGCGGTCGGTGGTGGGGCTTCTCCTGGTGACGGGCCCGACCTGACGGGTGCGCCGGCGGCATCGGCGGCCAACAACGGCGCGACGGACCAAGGCGGTAGCGGCTGTGGCAAGGCCGGGGATCCGGCATGTTCGGGCGTTGTTGATTACAGCAGAAAAGCTGACCCTCGAGGGCTTGTATCATCAAACCGGAATCGCCCGGCGACTATTGACGGAGTCGAGCAAGTGGAGAAGGTGGGTGAAGTCGTCGAGTCAACGCTGAAGATAGAACGTTCCCCACTGTCGGGGTATCGTTCGACTATACGTACTTGGCCCCAACCAAAGAGTTGGCGGCCCTACAACATCTCCGGGAACACACGCACGCGTTGCACATATTCTCCCACGAATGCTGCCGGATGCTGCGTGTCAATCTTGCGAAACGGCAGGGTGCCTCGTGGGACCAAACATGTGTAACACCTCCCCCACCCACCCCGGCTCCCTTAACTTACCCCCTCTCTTCACCCCGCCTCCCTTCTTGCTATCAACAGGGGCAATGCGCGAGAGCCGGGGCCGCGGCGACCTTCAGGCAGCACTCTCACCGCCCACCCCCCACCATCAGGGACCACACCGGCAACGGGAGCAGCCACACCGATCCATTAGGCACCAGCGGCGACGTCGGCCTTTCCCACGGCCGGGCTCCGCGCAAGAATTCCGGTGGCGGGGCGGCCGTCCCTCCCCCCGTTCTCCCTAGGAACGCCGCCTCCGCTGGAGAAACAACCAGGGTGGCACTGATCGGGGAATCGGGCACCATTCGGAGTGGCAACGGAGGGAAAGTGAGCGGCGAGGCGATGCTTCCCCAGTGCCCTCTCCAGAGCGCCAGCGACAAGCCGAAGGAGAAGCCAACCGCGGAGCAGGAGGCCTTCGGTAGGGCCGACTCGTTCACCTCCGCTTGGCTGGGGCTGATTTCGCGGGAGGCCGGTCTGTCGTTCGTCCCCGAAGAGGTGCGTGTCTCGCGTGTCACGTCTGTGGTGTGTGTCTATTGTGCATATTAGTTGTTAGCATCCACCGCGCCAACTGACTCAGCAATGAGAAGACGCCAGTCTCTGTGCGGCGGAAAGCGGAAAATGTCGTTCTTGTGTGTGCGTGCCTCGGGCGGGTATCGGTTCTGTCGTTGGGCGCCCTACTTTCAGTACCGTTGGCACGTATTGCCTGGACAAGGTGTGCGTGACGTGCGTAACGGTGTGCGGGCAGTTGCACTCTTTCGCCCCGTGCGCGTGTTCCCGTGGGGTCTCAACTCTGTCCGTACGTGGTGTTCGTGGGGTTACCACGGACAGGCAGGGCGATGGCGTTGTTGTCGGCCCTTTCGCACCGGTCGTGTTCTTTTTAGCTCTGTACTCACTCTTCGTTCGTCTCACACCGCGGGGCTGCCTGCCGGCCGCTCAAATATATCCCGCTTCCTCTTCCTCCTCCTCCTCCTCCTCCTCCTCCTCCTCCTCCT